AGCTCCAGGTGGCGGCCATTCTTCCGCGCCTGCCGCAGGGACCTCTTGACCTTCTTTACCCGGTCCCGCAGCTGCCTGTTGCGCTTCTCTAGGGTGGCCACCTTCTGCTGCAGCTTCTTGACGTGGTCCTCCTCCTCAAACAGGGCCCTCTGCACCGAGGAACACATGAGCTGGGGAGGAAACACCGGGAGACGCAGGTGAGTTTCAGAAAACCTCCCCAGGTAAGCTTCCTGGTGCTGCCAGCCCGGCAACACAGACCCCCGATGTCACCAATGGCCCCAGCCCGGGATGAGGACAGTCCTCATGCCCCCTTCTTGTTTTCACCCTGTGGACCCCAAATGCAGAGCCCCCCCCCCTTTTGCTTTCTGTGTTTGGGTACCCTAGATAATTTTGTTTTAAAAAGATACTCCATGGTTTTGTCTTACGTGCCTATCGATTTGCATCCTGTTGAGTCCCTGTTGGGGCAGGTCACTCTGCACTTTTTGCTCTCATTCAGCAGTTTTGCCTGTTCAATTCTAATCTGGCTCTAGAACATTTTACAGTAAAGCCAAAGCTTGAGGATCACCCACTTGGAAGCGAAAGTGGATCCACAGAGGGCCTTCAGCGTATTTCCACGAAAGGGCTTTGCCTGTGCTGAGGTGCAAATACCCTCATTCTGGAACCCTTTCTAGTCATCGTGGGATGGGCTGGAAGTGAGTGTCTCTTTTGAAAAGTTGAGTTTTTGTTTCTTACCTAAGCCCCCTTGGTTTCTTACAGGAAAAAAAAGATATTCTAAATATGTCACTCTAGCATAGTGACCCAAGAAGTAAAAGAACAAAACCCGAAACAGAAAGATGCACAGAGAGTATGAATAGTCTACAGGAAAGGTAATATACAAATATCTCTTATATGAAAGACTTTAAATGCAAAGTAGATCCACAATGGATTGCTTCTTTTTTTTAACAAAATGAAATTTTGATTTTAACCTTTGGTAAAATCAGCATTTGGGGAAATAGACATTCTCATATACTGTGGGTAGGCTGTAAACTTCTATAAAGAGCAATCTGTGTCAAAATGAAAATTGCATATATCCTTTGATCTAGTCATTCTGATAGAAACACTCCCATATGTGTAAATGTATATTTATATATTATATATAGTATAATAATATAATAATTATAATTGTATTTTATTTATACACACACACACACACACACACACACACACACATGACATTAGCATCATGGCCACATAAGAGACATCCCTCTTCCCGCCCCCAACAAAAATGGCATCTATCCATGAACAAAAGTGACTTTAAGAGAACTGTGGGATCCACCAAGGGACCCAGGAGGAGTCTTGCCCACGCACTGCATCTGTGCATGCCTGTCTTTCTGATTGCTTGCCTGTCTCTAGTATTCTGTTGTGTCCACAGAACCTATTTTTCCCTGTATATGCAAATTGTATGTTTATAAGTGAAAATGTTAATACATTAAATGATCGTTCATTTTAAAGCATAAAAAAAAAAGACAAACATCAGTCCTGGCTGTGGACCTTTCAGTGGTCCGCGAGCTTCCTCCAGCCCCTCTCAGGCAAAGAACCTCAACAGATATTTCTCCAAAGAAGATATACGAATGGCCAACGAGTATATGAGAAGGTGCTAGACATCACTGATCATCAGGAAAATACAAATCAAAACCACAGTGAGGAGCAGGCAAGCAAAGGAACCTGTTGTTTGTTCTCACTACCCCCCACCCCTGCTCTGCTGCAGCAGGGGTCCCAATAAAGCCCTGACGGAACTTGGCCTCTGATCAATTTCTGTTGATTAAAGAGGCCAAGAGCCCTAGTTGGTAACATATTTTGTGGTGCCCAACGTGGGGCTCGTCCCTTCTGGCGGAGAGGATCTGGGCACCTCCGGGACCACCTAACGCAGCTTCCCCGTGGGTGACAAGCGGCCACCTGAACCTCTTGTTTCAGCATCACCTCGTTTGGTAAGTCTGCCTTTCTGGCCCCCGAGGGGCCTCAGCGCCCTCATTCAGGCAACGCTGCTCCCCTCCCCTTTGTCCCTCACCATTTTCCCTTTCCCTCCCCTGAAATCTCTCTCCCTCTCTCTGTCATCTCCTCCTGTCCTGTCCTTCCAAGAGAGTGGATGTCGGGCAAGCTACAGCTCCCCCTGGCCGGCAGTGGCTCACCTTGACGGGTGACAAGCAGAGGTGGGAGAGGCTCCCTTCACACCTTGCAGACCTTGGTCCAGCGGGCTCGCCCTGACTGGAGATTTATGAGAGTGATAGAGGTTCAAACCTCATTTCGTGTAGTAGCTGTAAGTCCGATCGCCCCCATATTCTCACCGTTACTTTCCTGCCGCCAAGAGAAGTCCCGTTGGGAACGAGCTGAAGCGGCAGATTTCTGTATACTGGTGCATGCGTGGGTTAGAGTCGCACCTGTGGGTCGGGGACCCACAGACGACATACAACTGGCTGGTTTCCGGGCTTGATCACCCCGGTGAGCAGTGAGTACTGGTACCTGAATAGACAGCCGCAGGGGGCGGGCTGAAAAGGCAATCTCTCTGTCTTTCTCTTTTTCAGTCTTTTCTGTCCCTCCTCCCTTTACCTCTCCCTTGGTCCTTACCCCTACCCTCCCATCCCCTTAATCCTGAAAACTTCTTGGTGTCTTTAAGTTTTGCCATTGGGATCTTTGTGATGTCGTTTTGGAAGTCACTGCCGACATATACAAACACAGCCCACATTGCCTGAGACTCCAGCCTTGGGTTACTTAGTGGGATTTTAAAGAACAAAAAGAAAAGACAGGAGCTTGCGTGTCTCTCTCTCTCTCCTCCGCACTTGCAATGTCACTCTTCTGCCTGAGCTCAGGGGGCTTCCATCTCTCTCCCCTGCACTTGCAATGTCACTCTTCTGCCTGAGCTCAGGGGGCTTCCATCTCTCTCCCCTGCACTTGCAATGTCACTCTTCTGCCTGGGCTCTCAGGAACTACCTGATTCATCTGTAGTCCCCCAGACTGAGGGGGGAAAAAAAGGCCATTTTAAATTCAAGCGGGAAAACTATGAGATCTCTGCTTCTATAGAAATTAACTTGTCTAGCTTAAGCTATGGGTTTAATTAATACAGACCCATCTTTAGAGTCATTAACATAAAGTACAATACTTTCATTGTATCTAGGGTTCCTGGAAGCCAATAAGTGCATATTGTTCCTGTTATAAAAATCTGTCAACAGGGACAATAACCTGATATGATTAAATTTCTAAGTAAACGTAACTGGGGTAAGAACTTTGTGCTAGACTACATAGGAATAATGATGTTTTGGAAACGTCCATCTGAAACAGTCTCTCCAATGTAATTAAGATAGGAATTAATTGTATATGCAGGTCATTTCAAATAAGATAAACGACTGGAACATTAATTGCTAAACAGGTCTAAATTTACCTACTTTTGTCTTCTTGTGAGAGAGAAATTAAGCTGTTTGGTGCCACCTTGAGATGTTCGCTACCAATTTATGGAATGCTAATGTGAAAGTAGGATGCGTTAAGAAGAGAAGGTACGAGGAATGGAAATGTATTTTGTTGAAAGGAAAAAGGATGACTTTGTCCCTTATTCTTTCCCCATTCAGAAACAGCCAGCTCTAGGACAAAGTATGGCTACAGAAAGTTGCAGGTTTGCGGAAGAGCAACATTTGGAACTTTGGTCAGGATTTTCTAAGGTTGGATTAAATTTAATTAGGTAAATAAATGGATTTTATTAAGAGTAGGTTGATGCAAGACTGGGCTTGGTTTCTCTCTCTCGTAAGAGAACAAAGTTTTCCCGGGATCAGGTTCAAAGTCAGCCCCCACCTTTCCCCCCTTAGGGATTATTAGGGTGCACAGCCCCTTCTCAATGGGAGACTTAGGAAACCCAGAAGGCAGGTTCTCAGAGAACCCTGACAAGTTTAGGGATGAATTTATCCGGCTGGGATTGACATTCTCTCTCACCTGGCAGGACATCATGGTTATTCTGGCCCACTGTTGCACCCCAGATGAAAAGGAGCGCATACTGAGAAAGGCCAGGGAACACGCAGATGGCCTACTGGCCACCAGTCCACACGGCCAAGTTTATCAGGTGGGTGGGACGCAATCCCAGAACATGACCCATGCTGAGACTATGAAGATCGTGTAGGCCAGGCTAGGATGAGACATTAGATTACTTGTCTGTCAGAAAGAATGAAAAGGTGTATGGTGAAGCCAGTAAATTACGATAAGGTCTGAGAGGTTACACAGGAAAAAGGTGAAAGCCCAGCAGGCTTCCTGAGCCGGGTGACAGAGGCATTCAGGAAGGACACCAATACAGACCCTGAGTCCGCAGAATGGAGGACACTCTGGGCCATGCATTTTATCACCAAGGCTACTCCTGATATCTGGAGACAGTTCCAGAAGCTTGCGGCTGGGCCCCAAGCCCCGCTGTCAACCCTGAGGAGGCCTTCAAGGTCTGTAACAACCGAGACTTAACAGAGGAGGCCAATGAGGATAAGAGGCTAATAAAGAAAACGCAGCTTCTGGCTGCTCTGATCCACCCACCACCTCGAGGGGACCCTGGAGGGCCGAGAAGGCTGGACAGACCACCAGGAAGCCCCTTGGACCCAAACCAGTGTGCCTTTTGTCGGAAAGGGGGGCACTGGGAGGTGGAATGTCCTGGGCGCCCTCCTGCGGGACGCCCGAGCGCCTCCCTGGCTCCAGATCCATCCTCGTGACTGCAGCGGAGCCTCGGGTCACCCTCGATGTGGCAGGTAGGGGAACTGAATTTCTTGCAGATGCTGGAGCTGCCTGCTCTGCTCTGACTTGGCCAGCTGGCCCCCTCTCCAGCCATGACTATGCTGTGATGGGAGGCGATGGACAGCCAAAGGAAAGGCGATTTACCATCCCCTCTTGCCTGTGGAAGCAGGTCCATTATTATTATTCACTCCTTTTTGTACATGACAGAATGCCCTGTCCCTTTCCTCGGGAGAGATTTGCTAAGTAAGTTAGGAGCTAGTATATTCTTAGGTCAGGGTGAATCCAAGAAGGTAATCCGAACGGAGAATGCATCTGTTCGTAGTCCCAGATGACCCACCTGTTGGGCATCAAAATATGCCCCAAGACATCCCCCAAGAAATTACAGAACAGGTAGATCCTGCAGTTTGGGATACCTCGGTGCCAGGAAGGGCAAAAC